CGTGCCTACCAGTCCGTGCGCGCTAGAGGATGTCAAATCTCCGATCAAGGTGCTTTTGTGACTTGGCCCTGGGAAGTCGTTTGCCAGTTGGCCAGACAACCTTAATCGGAGGTTTGACATCGTCTAACACGCACGGACTGGTAGGCACAAAAGCTAGACACTTGGGTCATGCCCCACAGGCATGTGAGCAAAGCATGGCTTAGAATAAGAGGTCGCTACAAGGTGAAGGAGAACAGCCAGGAATCCTTTGTCCTTATTTAATCAGCTTAGGCTTTTGAAAACAACTACATGAATTAAGACCAAGTAGCACACACTAAATCAAGGGCTACTGCCGCAATTTCCACACGCGTCACTAAGATAATCGCCCGAGTTCGTTCTATGGCAGCGGCGATTGGAAGACGCTGCCGGAGATGGAGGAAAACTTTGCTGCATCACAATAGCTCCCCGTTTTTTTTACTCGAAAGATTTGTTGAGGCCCACGAAAGGCCATTGTGGAAGGCCAAACTGTTTATGCAAGCGAAAAGAATAGCGCAAGCTAGGAGCTGACGAGACGGATATTATCTCACCGGTGAGCCATGTGACCACCTTTCTGAGGGGACACAATAAGTAAGGTATTAAGGCGACGTTTGAAGACAGCAATCACAAGCGCTTTCCCCAGGGCAAACCTACGCGTATTCTTCATGAACGCTCCCCTTCTACGCTTTGGACAGAATATAGAAGGACACATCGATGTGTATGTACTCTTTCGCTTGCCTCTGTGGAGCGGGATACATTGATCGTACAGTGAGATGCTTGAAAAGACGTATATGAACATATACCTACCGGTTAGGTAATGGCAAACTGCCCCGATTTAGGGTTCTATTCTCGCGCACCTAGTAGATCCCAGGGAAGGCTTTCAGGTTTTCTACCGTACATCAACAAACTTTCTTAAAGGAGTTATGGATGCTAGCAACAACGAATCCAGCGCTGTGCTTTCAGAGGACTTTGTGCAGGTGATCTGTGTTCTATTGCCAACGTCGACTCCAAATGATGATCATATGCCGCCCCAACCCTCTGATGACAGCAGTTCACTGCCATACTCGAGCTTAGAAATTTGCTCACAGCATACCTCCCCAACCTCAATGACCTCAACATGCCGACATTACCATGTGGGTGACGTGAGACTGATGACATTAACTCTCATATTTTGATAGCCATTTAATAGTGTACGCCCGATGATGAATGACTGAGCATGTGTTTGCCAAATAGGCTTCTTTAGTTTATAATTGGAATAACTCGCACGCCCACTCACTTCTATCAGCATCTGTCATTTATAAATACTGCAACTATTTGTGCGCACATCTGCTGTCTCTGATCATCCGATTTGAGTGTGAAATAAAAAGGTCAAACAAATGAAACTATTCAAACAAAAATCATGTCCGTTGGATGACGCCTTTTGCTGCAGTCGTGTCTTAGTTGGGCTCGCATCTACCATTGCATGGAGTCGACATTGTTCACTAAACACAAACATAGACCTGATAGCAGCCCATGGCAATTAAAGTCTTCTGATCAGGTGTTCGTCGCACCTTGTCGACTGCACGCTGAGTAGTTGCTGTACTAACAACTATTTTGGGTAAACAGCTTAGTGCCCAAAAAACACAATATACCCATTAGCTTTAGCGGTTGAATATTTTACAACGTTCGGATACAACCTAACAGCATTTGTCGGCCGTTTTATGCTCCTAGCTGTGACTTATCTAGCTTTAGAAGCATACCGCATTGAAAAGAACTACGAAGAGCCGAAAAATCAGGTATGGACGTCGGCTGAACCTCCTGTACTGGAACGGCAATTAAAGTCTAGAAAATCTGGAAATTAACGACGCAACGACAGCTGTTGACATTCACAGCCTGGTGGTACATCGTTGGTGTTTCATCCCCGAGCAAAGAGCTCGACAGTTAACTTCTGTTTTCGGGCCCGATTCTAAATAACAGGTTTGTAAAGGCAATTTTAGTTTAACACTTCTAACAGAAGATGAAATGGCGAACGTAAGTTTGTTTTCGATAATTCTGAGTCAAGCTGTAGCGACCACCTTCCCAGCAGCCAACGCCCACGTACTGTTCTCGACGACTCCCATCCTATACGGAGAGATCAAGAACAAACTGCCAGCCCAGACCACATCTATGTGCATATATTCATTTACCTGCTCCTACGGGGGGCGGGATATATTGGTCGCACGAGCCGGCGTTTGTCCAAAAGAGTACGAGAACACATCCCAGCAAGGTTAGGGAAGGGCCAACTAAAGGGTTTATATAGTTGCATTCTAGCGCACCTGGTAGACTCAGACCATCGGGTGGATGCTAAAGAGGCCTTCCGAGTGATCTAAAAGGTGTCCTCAGGCTACTCAAAATTTCTTGGACAGTGTCTGTTGGCTACGGCAGAAGCGGCCGCTATCAGGCTACGCCAACCGATCCTGTGCGCCCAAAATACTTCGTCGTAGCGCCGCAGTTACTATGGTCAAAAGCCGCTAATCCAACAGCCAGCAGTTTAACATCTCAGCCGACTACCAGTTCCCCTAATGCTGAGCAGATTTTGACCCCCTTTCCCCCTGTCCTGACAACAGATCTACTTTTCTACCAACCCGCATAGTTCATTTTCTTAATTACCATATAAATG